GGTCCGACTTGAGTCTAATAATTTTCACATGTCTGTATATAGTAGTAATTTTAAAAACATACAACTAATTAGTAATTAATTTATTGTTTCTATATTTATTATTTAGATTGGCAGGAGTCATAAAGTCAGAAACATGAGTCTCAGACCAGTGGGAAGCACTACACCATCACTTCTGGCTCCACTACTGGCACTGACACTGGATCCCAAAACAAAGTAAAACTGCAGCGCATTGATTTATTTATTGTGAAAACGTCAACTAATCAAAAAAATGCAATTGGATCTTTAATGTGCAAAATTAATATATGCCACCAATTCAGCCTTTACTCGTGTAGAACACCCCGAATTTATAAAATTTTGTCAGATGTTGCGACTTGGATATGACCTTCCATAGAGAAAAGAAATTGGGGGACTCTTGCTGGAGACTGTATACAATTCCATAGAGAATGAATCAGCTGATGAGTTAAAGAATATTACAGTCTGTATGGTTATTGATGGGTGGAGTAATATCCATAATGAACAAGTGATTTGTGTCTGTGTGACTGATTCTATGGAACAGTTCATTTGATTGACTTAGTTGATACAGGCGCAGAAAGGCACACATCAAACTACATAGAAATTATTGCAACTGCAGCAATAAAAAAATGCAATCAAAAGTATGGCTGTAAAGTAAGAAGACTGGTAAGTGACAATGCAAGCAATATGAAAAAAAATGAGAGAAACATTAGCAATGACAGAAAATTTAGATATTGTTACTTGTGGAGGCTCTGCTCACATTTTAAACTTACTGGCTCAAGATATCAATATGAAAGAGGTTAATGAACAAGTTAAGCACATCATTGTATACTTCCGGATTCATCATTTCCAGAAAGCCAAATACAAAGAGGCAGATGGAAAAGGATTAATATTACCACAGGATGTACAGTACTTTGAAACAGCTTAGCTAATTGCTTAGAGTCATACATTCAGAACTGGCCTATCTTCATGAAGGTACTATCATTACTTTAAGTTGTTTTTATTTTCTTATTTTGTACTGTGGGGAAAGTCACTAATTCACAAAGCATATACTAGTTGTGTTAAAGTGTGATTACTTATAGTAATATAGTAATAATATACTTAGAGTAATAATGATGAGATGAAATATATGATTATTTTGTTTTGTAAACTGACTGTTTACTCTAATGCTAGTTAACTCCACTCATGTACTCAATGAGTATTGAATAATGATTATCATGTGTTTAATCCTAAAAACAGTTACAAATCTTATGTTAACAGGTTTGGAATGAAAACAGGCTTGTAATTCACAAGAATATTGTAACCAAAGTTCAAAACCTTAAAATTAAGCGTGATGCTTAAGATTTGCTGACATGTTTAAAGATCATTGCTGTTGCATTAGACAAAATGCAAAGAAATGACTGCACAGTCAGTGAAGGAATTGAATTATGGTTTGGGTAAGTTACATTAGCCAGAATTGTTTTTTGTAATCAATCTAATTTCAAAATTGTGTTCATTAAATTCATTAATTTTATACATCTAATCATATTATTACTTTTACAGTATTCAAAATGACTTGCAACAACTTGGGATCACTGGAGTAGCACAGGCAGCCAAAGATAGATTTGATATGGCTATCACAGACTATCACTTTTTAGCTAATCTTGTGGACCCAAAATACCAGGATGCAAATCTCACAGACAGTATAAAGGATGCTGCACTAACTGTGTGCCATGCGCACTACCCAGATGCTATGCCTTCAGTTTTAAAATACTTTTCAAAAAGTAGCCATTTCTGCAACACATGTTTGCAGAGTCTGTGCTAACTAATATCACTCCTCTTACATGGTGGCAGTCACTACGTGACAGAATTGATGAACCTCTTTTAAAATTAGTTACACAGCTGCTCACAGCAGTGGCTTCTTCAGCCGGAATTGAGAGAATTTTCTTTACCTATAGACTTGTTCATTCAAAACTTAAATATCGACTTGGACAGGAAAAGGCAGCAAAGCTTGTTAAAGTTTTCAAGCACCTAAACAACCACTACTGAGCGTTGTACATTTCTGAAAATAAGAAATTCTTCAAGGTGAAGAAGCCACTGCTGTCAATCCGTTTTAGTTTTGTACATGAAAATCTTAAAAATGCCATTTCATAAAGAAACATTTAAAAATGCTGTATTTTATATTAAATAAAACATTCTGTACATTCTTGAGCCTTACATTGAAGTTTTTCTGTTTTACTAGATCAAGTGTTTTATTTCCAAAAAAAAACATGTTTTAAATCCAATGCCTATGTTTTAATAAATGTTTCAAAACATTTTTTTTAAATCATGCCAACCCTGCTTATAGTATATGGTAGCTGGTTGTGACTAATAATTTATGGTTGTTTGCACAAAATCTTTTAATGTATAANGTACATTTTTGAGTGAAGTTTTTCTGATTTTTTTCCTATTATACTAGATCACAGTGTTTTATTTTTAAAAAATGTTTTAAATCCAATGCCTATGTTTTAAAACATTTTTTTAATTCATGCCAACCTTGATAAGCAGGCGAGCGTTCCGATAGTTTTTAGAGATGGAGAGAATAACGAAGAAAAAGATTGTCTTTTGAAACACTTGATAATGCGATGAAAATATAACTTATTATTTCCGCTGCCTTCAAATCACGTCTTAATTCAAACCTGTTTCTATCAAACACTATTTATTTATTTTTACGACTTTCTGGGGCTAACAAAAGACTAATTCCCGGGACGGGAGTCTTTACTTGTTCTATTGTCTCGGTCTACATTGAAAGCACGGAATAAATTTTATACTCGGACGATATTTAAAGGCCTGCTCCATCGTTCAGTTCGGACAAATTCATCTTCAATCTTTATAAACATCGGCGGCCGGGAAAATGACCTCCACTTAGTTTCGGAGTTGTTGTTAGTAGATGGCACTTAGCTACGGAGGGAAACCGGCAGATCTCAATAGCAACCGCCATTATTATTTCTGTCGCTAAACGACTATCTTCACCTGTAGAATAATATCGTTATATCCTCTGTCCAATTAAAGAAAAAACGATAACAACTTAGGCCATACAATTCATTTATAAAGAATATTCTTTATCTATTTATAGTTTACTATTATAACTTTCCCGGCTTGTGCAAAAAACAGGAGAAAGTATTGGAAACATGTCAATTGGAAATCGTTCGAGTGTCAGACTCCCTGAATCCTAAAAAGTAAAAAACTGGAAAAAATTCGGTTGATAAACAGAAGTGTGTGTTGTCGTCTATTTCGTTTAATATCTCGGAAGGGGTTAAACATCAAGGGTTCGAAATTGGGCACGGTAATTTTTGTATAAGGGCCATCGACGCTATTAAATTTTATTGTGTAAGATCGAGGGGTGGGGATAAAGAAAGATCAAGTGTCACATCTCAAGAGGAGTCGGACTTAATGTAGATTTTACTCTTTATAGCATTTAATTTTTTTTACTCATTTCTACTTTCAAAATTAAGCTTTTAGCCACTTCGTAATAATTAATAATAGGCCTATTTAAAAAACAGCTGCAAAAGTTACGCGACTCCCGCTATTACGCCGTTTTTTTGCGTGTTTCTGGATATTTATCGAGACCGTACTTCTTCGACGTTCCCATTGCGTCTAATGAGTGACGTTGGAAATGACTTCTTCGACGTAATTTGCAACGTTACTTATTAGACCCAAAGGGTTTTCTAGGAAAGAACGAGAAACGTTGAATTAATTTTTTCCAATTTTGTGTTATGCCAAAAGTGTAATTTAATTATTACACGATTGAATGTCCTGATTTCCGGTCGATCCTACTAATTCTTTGACCGGTAATGAACAAACTTCGATGAGTTTTGCATGGTTTTTTATACGATTGCACGTGTACACGTTATAAGAAATATTTCGTAAAACTTGTCTCCACTCTTATCCAACAGTCTACGGCTTAATAAACGCACATTTTAAAATTTAAATAATACTTAAAAACTTAATTTTTATCAATTTTAATATCTTTTGGCAGGAANACGATTTAAATACAGTATTTACTTTTAATATTATCGATATGTCATCGAAAAGAAAATGTGTTGTATTATCATTAAAAGACAAATTAAAGTATTTGTTTCCATTATCCGGATTTTTCCTTATCCGGACTACCTTCATCCTCAATTAGTCCGGATAATCGAGGTTCTACTGTATATACATTTACAAGTATGTACTGTACTGTATTTCAGGGGCATGCCGTGACATTTGATGATAGGGAAGCTGTGTTTCTATAAAAAGCCGACATCCAGGGGCAATCAGTTAATTCTTTCTTTAAATGTATTTTTAATAAGCCACTGCTGTATTTACAGCACATGCATTCGTAAAATTAGATTACTTTTTTCTGTACTATATTAAAAACTAAAATTTGTTTGCAAGCTTAAAATAGATCCTTATTAACCATATATTATTAAAAATGCATTAATAAATAAAATACAGAACCGGGAATGGTAATTTATGGTTTAGCCTAGAGCAGTGTTTCTCAACCACTAACGAATCGTCGCCCCCTTCAACGTAGTATCGCCCCTTCAATAAAACAGTTTGTAGTATCGCCCCCTTCACTTCAAAATTCCTATGCCGAGGGACAAGGCTAACGCCAAATTCGTACTGCATCGAATAGACTAGTGACTAGTATAATGTTATTTGTTTAATTATTGTACGATATAACGAATAAAATATCTAATTATTCTTAATATAATGTTGTACTATATCGCCCAGAAAATTGTTTTTCGCCCCCAAAAATATAAATTGTTACTAATCGCCCCCTCAACATGGAAAAACGCCCACATGGGGGCGATATCGCCCCCGTTGAGAAACACTGGCCTAGAGGCACGTAGATTCCGAGACAAGTAAATTCGACTTACGTCGCCTCTCCTGGAACCAATTACCGACGTAAGGCGAGGTATACCTGTATTAACTAGCAAATGAGCCCGGCGTTGCTCGAGCAAAACGCTACCGTGAGGTGAGTGATCATGCCAGAAATAGTGGAAAAAATCCACAAAATGGTATTGGATGACAGTCGACTCAAAGTTCGAGAGCTAGCAGACATGGTAGGCATTTCAAAAAGTGCTGTACATTGCATTTTAACTGAAAATTTGGATATGAGAAAGCTGTGCGCAAGATGGGTGCCGCGTTTGCTTACAATGGAACAAAAACAGCGTCCTAAGAATGTTTCAATCGAGTTTTTGGTGATGTTTCGCAGCAACGAAACCGAGTTTTTGCGTCGATTCATAACCACCATGGATGAAACATGGGTCCATCACTTCACATCTGAGACGAAAGAACAGTCGAAACGATGGACTGAAAGGGGAGAATCTGCTCCAAAGAAGGCGAAAACAGTTCCATCTGCTGGCAAGGTCGTGGCATCAGTTTTTTGGGATGCGCCCAGGAAAAACAATCAACGGCAAGTATTACGCGAACTTATTGCAGCGCTTGAGTGATGAAATCAAGAAAAAAACGGCCACATTTGGCGAAAAAGAAAATGTTGTTTCATCAAGACAACGCACCAGTTCACACATCCGTTATTACGATGGCCAAAATCAATGAGTTAAGGTTCAAATTGCTTCCTCACGCACCCTATTAGCCAGATTTAGCCCCCTCGGATTATTTTCTCTTTCCAAACTTAAAAGAATGGCTTGGTGATAAAGGATTTGCCAACAAAGAAAAGGTGGAGTCTGCGGTTGATGGCTATTTTGAGAAGCTCGACAGTTCTCACTATAAACAGGGGATCGAAGCTATTGTACATTGCTGGAAAAAGTGTATCGAGCTAAAAGGAGACTATGTTAAAAATAAAGATATGTTTTACCAAATTTTTTGTGTCTTCTTTGTTAGGTCGGGTACTTCTGGGACTACCCTCGTATTTATTTAATTTCTTTCACAAGGCGATATTCATAACAATATTTATTTAAACTGCTATGGCACAGACAACGCTCACATCACGCAAAAGAGAAATTTACATCGTAAATTAATTTAAAATTAAAACAAATTAAGAAAAAAAAAATAAAATATATTTTGACGGGTAGGGTTAAGTAGTAATAAAGTGATCTGGTTTCATTTTTTTCGCAGACGATCTATCGTTGCATTTTCGGCGCCTTCGCTACGACGACGCCCGGTGCGGTTGCACCGTTCGCACCGCCCTAGGGCCGCCCCTGGTTTTACGACCGGATAGGAAACATGCAAAGAACCAATTTCGAACACCTGAAAAATTTCAAATACAATCACGAGACATGGAATGATGATGAATAACGATAAAAAACAAGTAATGGTTTCTAAAGTACTGTACGTGATTTAATTTTTGTATCGGTTGAGGATATTTGAAAAACGTTTCGGGTTCTCTTTCACACGATAACGTGGCGACCACTACGTTGTGACTGAAACTGGAAGCGACAAGACCGCAATTCGAATCTTCAGTGGAAGAGACTGGAAAAAACGTGACACGAGAAACAAATGCCCTTCGAAATTAGATTCATTAAATGTTACAAGCTGTAAGTTCCCTAGTCAAAATAAGGTAATTTAAACGCTACATTTTTATCGGCATAGACACTCGACTGAGAGGCTGAAAATACCCTATCCTGTAAAATCACATATTTTCTCACGTTCTGTACGACGCGGCAATAAATTGGAAAAGATTGGAGAACGTTTTATTTTTATTTTTGACGAATAAAAAATCGTTCGTCGTTGATTGTTCTTATATAATGGGACTTACGAGTAAAAAGTTCGGCATCTTTTCCGACTCCGTGTATTAATGTTAACGTCCTAAATATTAATCGATGTATTATAATTTCTTATTGAATATTCTTGCGTGATGAATTCACGTTACAAAAATCCATAAGTTTAATTAAAGTTTTTACGTGAAAGAATTGTGTAAATTACAATTTGACTTAAATTTTTTTTTCTTTCTCGAGATATTTTGACAGAATTACAAAAAATTTTTAAGGATAAAGCGACTTTAAAAATCGCGTTTTTCTTAATGAATGTCAATTAACAGATCTTGAATACTGGTCGAATGACGTTTCTTACACGCAATTTTCCTAGCTCGAACCTCTGTTGGTTCCGTCTTTCGACAGAATCTATTGTCGCGTATTGAATTACATTTCGATTGAAACAAAAGATTGAGCCACTTATACATATTTGGCTAAACGTCTGTCGATTGACCTTGTATAGTAACAAATGTTAAATTGTAGATACAGGTAGGCCTATAGGACAAAATAATAGGAACACCTATGAAAGAATGCAAAATATTTATTAGTAGGGAGTTGGGCCACCATTGGCCTGAATTATAGCTTGTATCCGACGTAAGATTGAGAAATAAAGGTCATGCAGAAAGTTTAAGGGAATTCGCAGCCATTCCTCCTGAAGAGTGGTCTCGAGTTCAGGTAGTGTGTGTCGAGTTCAGGTAGTGTTTTAGAGAACAAAGCCCGAGCACGGGCTTTGTTCTCTAAAACACCCCACACAGGCTCAATGATGTTGAGATCAGGGAACTGAGGACAACACATGAGATGTTCAACTTCATCATTATGCTCATCCAACCATGTTTGAACACAGCGAGCCACACGTGTGTACTGGGGCGTTGTCATCTTGGAGTAGAGGACGTTCTCCAGGAAACAGATTATGAAGCATAGGGTGTAAATGATCTGCGAGAATACTGTGATAATGCTCGCCTCTGACCTTCTCCCTCAGGACTACGAGTGGTCCCAAGCCACGCCACGATATTGCTCCCCACAGCATCACAGAGCCCCCTCCATGCTTCACGGTAGGAACCAGACAGTCAACATGAAATGCCTCTGCCGGTGTTTGCCAGACGAACACACGTCCGGTGGTCTGAAATAATGTAAATGATGATTCGTCAGACCAGATGACCTGTTCCCATTGCTGTTGTGTCCAGTTTCTGTGGTCTCGGCACCACTGTTGTCGCTTCATAGCATTCTGCGGTGACACTAACGGCTTTGGGATGGCTACTCGGCCAAGAATGCTCGCAGCATGCAGCTCCCGTTGAATAGTTTTGGTGGATATGGATTTCTGGAAATAAATGTTTATCTCGGAGGTTATCTGCTGCAGTGTAGTCTTACATTTTGAGGCGACTATTCTCTGCAACGCTCGTCTATCTCGGTCGGTCAACTTCAACTTTCGCCCACTGTTCTGCTTCACAGAGAACACTTTTCCCAGTTTTGTGTAGGCTGTTATAACACTTGGCACAGTGGACCCTGAAACACCCATAAGATTGGCTGTTGTAGACACGGACATTTCAGTGAGGCGAGCTCCAATAATCATGCCTCTTTGCACGTCGGACAGGTCGGACATAATGGCGCTTTGCTGGGAACAAAATTTTCTCATACAACTGTCACACCGCCAAATGCTCGACTGATACCTTCCCTTTCACCGCCACTAAATGGCAGACTGTTGCGACATGTGGTGGAGTTGTATTGGACGGTCGAAGTACAGTACAACACATTTCGAAAGGGGTGTTCCTATTATTTTGTCCTGTGCCTGTATATCGAAAAAAAAACACAAATTTAATTCGCAAATTTTTTAAAATATACGAAATGATTAAATAACTTATACATAGTTTTAAAACAGTATTTTACGGCATGTAAATAACAAATTTAATATAAGAAAAAAGGCTCAAAATCGCGTCCTGCGTATTACGAGCGAAGCCCATACGCTAACGAATTCTGCAACGACCTTCGTTAGGCTACCAGAAACCTCTACCCAGGTTCAAATCTTGAGTAAAAATGTTATTGTTTGATTAAATGTATTATTAATATTATAACTTTGTATTTATACGTATTTCATCCTATTATATTTGGTATGCCGTTCTTATTAATTATTAATAATATGGAAATCTATACTAATATAATAAAGAGGTAATGTTTGTACGTATGTAAGTTTGGATGCAGCAGGTAATCTCCAAAACTACTCATCCGATTTCAAAAATTTTTTCACCAATATTTAAAATGGAACTTCAGGGTGGACATAGGCTGTATATTATTCCGTTAAACATGGGGGATGGACAGTTCTTTATGGTAAGCCTTACGGAGAAGGCTTACCGTAAAGAACTCTGCTTCTATTTATACTATTTTAGATGCGGGTTTTTGCGCTTTTGATTGCGTTTTAATAGGGTACGTCAAGAGAATGTACTGTACACTAAGAAAAAATTTTTCGAAAAATTTTCCCCCACGGGGGAAGTGTTATACATTTATAATAGATACATTTTGAGCCACAACAAGGCGTGGCGGGGTCTGCTAGTATTATTAATAATTTATTACGCGGAATGACATAAATACCATAAATATTACCGTATTTACTCGCATATAAGACGAGGTTTTTATTCATTTTTCACTGCTTCAATAAACTAAGCCGTCCTATACGCGCAAGAGAAGAATTTATTTCGATTTTGCAATAATTTTTGTAAATTGTGTACAGTATTAGCATTTTTTACCGGATTCTCACCTTCTGGTGTTTAAAAACAAAAGACTTTTATCCGGGTCGTTTGAATCGTTCTTGTGTATTATCAGAGGTAAAGATGAATAGCAATAGGGAAAGCAAAGCTTTTGAATTGAATTCCAAAATTACAGGGGAGCCCGATATAAATTTTAATTCATTCTCACGTGAAAACGGATGATTATTTGAAAATCAGAATTCGGAAAAACTCTAAGTGTAATCGACGAAGAGTGAATTTGACTGTTAAGAATTGGCAAAAACGGTTCCCAATAATTGTCCAGCTTTGCGTGAACAAATTATGTTATCGATTTTACAAGATTTTTACTTGAAGTTTAAAATGCCAGTAATTTTTGCGGGACAATGTATGCATTTACGTGCATTTGATATTTTATTTCTGATTAAATGAAATGAAATTAGAACTGCATTAATAAATCTAATTTTCTTTATTTTGATCTTTAAAGTCACACCTCGTCCTATATGCGAGATCGTCTTATATTCGAGTAAACAGGATATTTCTAAATTTCTAAATATGCGATTCTAACTCGCGACTTGACGTTAATACAGAAATTAATTATAATTAGAAAAAATTCAGTTGTGTATTTTCATGCAGTCATAGTCGAGTAATTATTAAATACAATATAATGAATATATTTACTTTATATCAGACTATTGAGAATTATTCTCGATTTATTAAACATTATATTTTTGAAATTTCATTTCGATCATTTGGAAATATCGGCTCTGCAATTTTTAGCATACGCCTGAGTGAAAAACGAATTCTTTCGTGAATAATTGCAACGTGTCTTTTTAATTTCATTTGTTATTAATTTAATTTTTATATGACTTTTTTTGTACGTACAGTACTATACAGTACCTTTAGCTTCTTTTTTTTTTTATTGTTACTTCCTGAAGAGTTGATACATTGGAGAAAAGATCTACTGTGACCAGCAAATTTCTACTGTAGACGTAATAAATAATTAATTAAAACAGGAATTGATCT